TATATATATATATATATATATATATATATATATATATATATATATATATATGCAGATAACCTGTGCAGATTCTACTTGCTCCTTTCAGGGCTCTATCCTACTTGTATACTATTATCTTACGTGTATCAAACTCGAACAAACGTTGCACATAATGTTAAGTGAACAAATGTAAGAATAGCTGTGGGGTGTAGTGTATGTGTGTGTTTATATACACACATACAACATTTTTTATGATATACACATGTACGAATATCGCGAAGATTATAAGTATGCGACATTTTTTATAATGCAGTCGCAAAAGTCATCTTTTTATCGATATTCAAAATGCTTATTAATTAGAACTTAAATTATTGCTATCACTCGTTATATTTACCATTTTCTACTTGAATAAGATAATTTCGCTTGAACTGAGAAAATTTGTAGAGATGGTTGTAAAATTTAGTAATCTTACAATTTTTACGCAATATATTTGTGAATACGTTTACTCTCGGATTATTCTTTTTGCGATTATTAACCGCAACGTTATTGTAGTTGTTGACTGAGAGCTATACGCTGATTATATAGTTTGTCAAAACTGACTCAATTCACCTGCGCCTACTACATGATTTTTCTTTTCTTTAAGGAAAATATAAATTTTGTTCCGATACTTTATGCCACTGTAATATCGATAAAACGAAAAATCTGATTTATGTAGCACATAAAATAAATGAGCATTCAGTAGATGTGTCTGTGATTAGAAAATGAATGAGACATGCACGAAAATATCGATCAGATTTGTCCTTCGTGCGAAGAGAGAAAAAACGTGTTTCTTACTCATTTTTACGGTAAATAAAGAATCGCTCGTATAATTGTACGTCTGTTTTAATTGAATACTCCAACTGGACTAGCTAATGAATCTTATTGCCTTTTCTTCTCCTTTGTCTGAGATTTGTGGAAAATGTATTCCACAGGTATAAGTTCCATTCGATGGATGCATGACACGCTCTCGCGCACGCAACAAACTTTACTGCAACTGTCGCGTACACGTGGGCAAAAGCTCACGCCGTGCATAAAATTGTAAATGATAAAATTGTAAAGATCATTTAGAGAGAAAAACGTGCGACATGGATCTGGATTGATCGCGGATTCGCCCGGATTCTCCTACCGGAACGGGAATGAATCTAAGGTGTGGGCGTTTCACCTTCGTATGTTCTTTCCTCGTCGTTCCCGCTATCGGGCTTTGTGCAAAACTAGCTGGTTACGAATAATTTTCGTCGCTCGAATCATCGTCAAATTGTTCTCGGCTTCCTCGATGTAAGTCAAAATAGCCGCTTCTCGAAGAGCCTTTTTTGTGTTGCGCATCGACGCCCTCGATCGTGGGCTCGTCGTCGTCGTCGTCGTAGCGGTGGCGCCAGTACGAGGCCGTTCTTAAACGAACGAACGGTGGCGAACCTTGAACGAGCGTACGACGTCGTCGACATGTCAATGATGATGATGATGACGACGACGACGACGACGACGACGGCGACGACGACGAGAACGAAGACGAAGACGACGGTAACAGCAACGGAAAACAGGAAGCGTAAGAACGGGACAAGAAGCGTACAGAGGTATCACCTATGGGAGTATGGACGAGCCTTCGCCCACGTGAGGCACGCAATCGAGCGAGTGAGTCGTCCAGGTGGCGATACTCAGCCAACGAGGGACGAAATTTGCAGAGACTGGTGAGTCGAAAGTTGCAGTCGAAAGAGAAAGAACTGTCAGGCAGAGGCGGGGGCAGATAGAGTTACGTAGGTAGGAGAGAGGAACAAGCGCAGAGAAGGGCTAAGATCACTAGAGAGGGAGAGATCGAAAGGCCTACAGTCTGTCGCCATGGTGATTCCGCTTAACATCGTCCTATATCGCGTAGACCTGTTCCTCGGCAGTTCTTTCGTACATACACTATCTTTCTCTCTCTCTCTCTCTCTCTCTCTCTCGCTCGCGTCCCCCTTTGACTCGTCTCAATTCGTCTCGTACATACACCGAGTCACAGAACGATTGGACGCATTTCCAGCACTGAAGTTGCAGCGCTTCAAGATGTTAAAATTGAGAGACACTGCTGACACATTTACGTATGAATCGGTTATAACAGGAGCCAAAGTGACAGTATAGGGTGTAAAAATAAATGTAAGATAACGTAATGACATGTTAATACAGCCTGTACTGTTACTTCAACTTCTGTCATAACCGATTCATACGCAACTGCGTCAATATTACCTCTCAATTTTAACATCTTGAAGCGTTGCAACTTTGGTTGCAGTCGAAATGTGTACAAACCATTTTGTGATTCAGTGTACATCAAGTCTGTTCTATTTATCTGAACTGGTGTAATAAGTTAAAAGTGAGACAAATATATTTTGTTTCGCTTAAACTTATTGCACTAGTCTGCACTAGTTGAGCCAAAAAGAACAGACCTGTTGTGGAGATGTCATCGTATGCTTCGACTTTCACACCAAGCGCATCTTTTAAGGGCTCTCTTTTCAAACAAGATTGCATCGTACCACGAACGCCAGCCAATTTTATACTCGTGTAAATTTACTTTTTGACTTTGATTCGAAATTCTTTTGGTATATCACAATCGGTCAGCTAGCTCCAAAAGTTGATGAGTTTTTTGCAAGAAAATTTTCAGTTAACCAAGACATCTAATAGGCACGATAGAACAAGCAAATATGCACGCAGCAAAAGTTGGAACGTTTCATATCATACGGCTGATATGCGTACTCGGTAGCACGTGGCCTCCCTGACCTCCCTGAGTGAGAGGCTGCGTATCCAAAATACGGGCTGTATCGGCCGGAAGCGGAAGCTAGTTAAAAATGTAAACACGTGCACATATTCGTGCGATAACTCGTCAGATTGTTCGATTGGGAGTATCGTCCAATCTTGGTGTAAAAAGCGCTCGTCTCGTAGATGTCCAAACAAAACCTATACTTTGAATGTAGTGTTGAATATATTCTCTCTTTCTTTCTCTCAAATCAATCGTTCCGAATTGTCGATCGCATGAATGTAACGCAAGATCAGGGTACCTATTATGGACTTCTTCGGAATCAATTCCGATCGGAATAATTCCGTTTCCCCTAGAAAAGACAATAGAAATCTAGGAAATAACTGAATGTTTCCGATCGGAATTGATTCCGAAGAAATCCATAATAGGTATCTTGTATGCATGGCACGGTGCACAGATAGGTTATTCCACATAATCCCTGGTAATATTATTTATATCGCACGGCGTTTACGCGTGAATGCGACAAATATTTATACGCAAATCCTGTATTTACGTAAGATATTGTCGAGAAGGATGAGGCTATCACAAGGAGATGACACGAATCGTTATGACGAAACGGTTGCACCTTCTCGAGTACACACGCATTGGGAACATTAGCGCGCTCAACCGTACAATCTCGACAACTCGCGGTTACCGACAGCTGCCGCGATCTAGCGGCGGCTTGGTGCATTAATCGGCATTGTGCCGGAGCCGGAGCTGGAGCCGCCGGAGAAGCCGCTGCAGTGTCGCGTGCATCGCGTTTGTGTTCGTCTATCGCGTCGTTCCCCGTCCCTTGCTTCCACTTTATGTCCCACCTCGTCTCCGCCGCTCGGTCCCTTCGTTAGTGCATGCGTGCGTGCGTGCGTGCGTGCGTGCGTGCGTTTGTCCGAACAAATTCGCGGAAGCGTGCTCGACGGCCGGCCCTCTGGTATAAATCTTGAAGCGCGATATCTCGCCGCACCGCCGTCGTCCATTAACGTTACGCGCGCGTAATCGTGCAGCGTCGCGAGAAGCGGTATTCGCGCGAGCAATGGCGCGATCGTGTCGCGCCGTGGAGTCGACGTGTGCATCGCGTAGATGATAATCGCTGGCGGATCTCTGTGGTATGGTGTTTACGTCGCGCGAGAGGATCTACCATCCGCGTTACCACGACGGTGCAGCGAGTAGCTCGACGGACCTTGGACGCGAGCCGCGTCGTGAGCCGCCATGAGACGCATCAGCGGTAAGTCATCGTTCGCGCGATCGTCGACCGCGACCGCGACGGCGACGGCGACCGCGCGTCCGCGCACCACCGTTCTCTTCCCGCCCGCGGAAACCCCGCGTCTTCTCTCCGCAGCTTTCGACTTTCGCGCTTTCTCGTTTGGTCGTCAGGTCGCCGTAGTAGAGCGGCTCTTCACTACTACGTGTAACAACGTCGCGTCGTATGTTCCTGCATTCCGAACGTGACGTGATCAGTCATTACTTATCGACTACAAATTGCTCATTTTCCGACTCGCACGTTGCAATTTTTTCACATCAATCGCACTTTTCGTTTTCGTCAAATTCTATCCGTTCTGGCTGTACCACAAGAAAGTGCAGTAAACTGCTCGTTTTAGTCCAGTATAGTTTAGTAGTCGAGGCCAAATAAAACAGTCTTGTCCGATTTCAAAACGAAACATACTTTTTTTTTATTTCCTATTTGGATGTTTATGCACTGTTAACTGTAAGATAATTTTACTTACGCAACAAGGGCAAACTATTTGTAAAGTAGAATTCGCTAGAAAACGGATCGCGCAGAGTCAGTTTCCAGCCAATGAGAATTGGTGGAACGTACTACGTGTGAGAGTGTATGAAAGGCGCGATGTGTATGTTTTTTACTGTTTACACGTATTTCTTACGTGTCTCGAGATGTAACGCTTCGACACTTATGAGAAAAAAGAAAATTGTATGCCTCGAAAAGTAGCCATACGATCAGAGTGAGAATCGCACATTGTGGAGGCTGTTTAATCCTCTCTCCCTCGAATGACAATAGGAAACTCGCGGTGGAGTCGAGCCAATCCAAGACAAGCCATGGCGAGAGCCGGGCGAAATTCTCTGCTATCGTTCATTTAGTCGTAAAGTTCTTAAGATCCTCGCGTCGACGTCGTAAATTAAAACGGATCTGCAACGTCGTAAACTCGCTTTTCTAAGTGACGAATGATGTCATTTGCCTATATATCATCGGACGGATTGTTCCGTCATAGGTTTCCCTCGGGATAAATAAACGGAGAAACACGAGCGTGTTTTCGCGTGTAGTACAAAAATCGGCGGCTACTGTTCGTTGCGATGCGTCCGAAAAGTTTCAAATATAGCGCGCGAACGATTTGTATTTCTTCCGCGTTGCGGTGAAATTTTCGAGAAGGAATAGGCGGAACCGCGTCTCTGGAAATATCCAAATGTTGCGATCGAGTCACGAAATCGAAGTGAAAAACTAGCGCGAGCTTCGTCAACTTTGATTTCAATGCGATTTGAGACGCGGGGTTAAAGCTTAGATTCGCCCGCATTCTTCTTGCTCGCACACTCACACTTGGCTAATCTCTCTCCCCTCTCTCTCTCCCTCTCATTTCATCGCGTGTAATAAAATCAGCGGTTTCGATGTACGCGAATGCGCTTGGATCGTGCCCAACGCCGAATTGGACGAAATCGCTGACGAACTCGGCAGGCTAGATTGCGGCTCGCATTCGTTAAAATGCACAGCGAGAGCTGTATTTCGTTCCGCGTGTATCGATCTCGTATCGAATTATATCCAATTCGCGATATATGCGTGACACGAGAATTTCCAATGCCAAGGAAAAGAAGGTTTTCGATATCTTTTGAATTTTTGGCGTGCAATAAAGGACACAATGAATGTTTGGAGGAACCTTATAATATATAAAGGCGGTCGCGCGCGCGATCGTTCGATAGCAACATCCGCGATCTTATTCTCGCGATAGCAATGACACGCGCGCCGCTCTCGGCCGCTCGCGGGACACCCGCTTCTAACCGTTATCTATAAACACTCGCTTTCCCAGCTCGCTGAGGAATCGCGTTCGACGTATCGATTCGTTATAGTTTGCTGGGTTGATGCCGAGAGAGAGAGAGAGAGAGAGTGTGTGTGTGTGTGTGTGTGTGTGTGTGTGTGTGTGTGTGTGTGTGTGTGTGTGACTGCGAGAAGGGTGAGAGGAAAGTTCGAAAAGGGAGAGAAGCAACCCGTTAGGTAAGATCGCGGTGTGAGTGCCGGTCGAGGATGCAACTCTATTGTCGAAAGAGCCGCCACACTTTCCAGAGTTCCCCGAAATGAGCCATTTTGTGAGAAAAGGACAACAGCAGGTGTACGAAGAACGAAAGAAATGATTTCTTTGAGCGGCATTTGCGCTTACTGCCTCTCGATTCTAATCAAATGTCGGGAGAAATCAGTGCGCGATAATACGCCGCGGCCGTTGCTTCGTTTTTATTGAGGTGTGACGATATTCTCGCTGACACACTTTGCCCGATGATCGCGCGAGGGAAGTTTTATCGGCAATGCCCCTATTCGCAATTATTCGCCGCACCGCTTGATTATCGATCTGGCTTTCAGTGTTATCTCGTCGCGTATACGCGCAAACGTGGAAACAGATATGCGACTAGACAACGGGAGAAGGAGAGAGAGAAAATACACGGGTATTATTTGGTTTTTGCAAAAGAGCGACTTGCTTCTCAATTAAGTTCAATGATGTAGTTCTATATCGTGTCAGTTAAGCCTTACTACGGCAACGTTTCCATACTTTATCTACGCGTATCGCGTTATTAGAGCAAATTTTTTATTGGCGTGCCTTTTCTTATCTTTCGACAGTTTGTGTTATTTTGTCGAAATACTGCGATACGAGGAGCGACAAAGAATATAAATCAATAATAGAAAACGATCGAGTTATCGATCATAATTGCAGGGCAAGGCGACTCGTTCCTACCCGTCCTTGACGAGGATCCACTTCGGCGATCGTCCACCCCGATGCATTATGCAAATTGCTCGGGCCGGTCGCGGGTTGCCGCGCATTATTTCTTTTTTTTCTGTCTTTTTCCTTTTTATCCCTTTTCTTCATTGGCGAGAACGCCAAGCAGCCGTCCAGCGTCCTTAAAGTCGCGTTCACATCAACGCGATATTTTCCCGTCGTAGAAACTGGAATGCTCCGCTCTGGCTCTCGAGCCATCTATGTTTGGTATCGTTTTCGCGACGTCGGATCGATTGAACAATGCGAAATTATCTTTTCTCTGACAGATCTTTCTCTCGAAACGTTGTTTTTCTTTTCTTTTGTGGGGGATGCGAAAACGGTCGAGAATAAGAGAGAGAAAGAGAGAGAGAGAGAGAGAAGGAACCATCTTCTTTCTTCCTCTTAACAGTGCAACAGGGCAAACTGGAACTATCGTAGAGACCCAAGAGCATTTCTCACAAGAACACACGTACTCTTCTCTCTTTTATGTGTCTTTTAGAAGGTACGCATTCGAAAACATTGATGCGTCGGTATGTTGCGTCAATTCGATCTCATACGATGCTACGCTAACACCGTCCAACGTTTCCTTCCGCCTACAAAAAACCAGAGAGCGCTTCGTGCGTATATTTTAAAATAATACGACTTTATCACTCGACAAAGTGTACGTATCGCGTTCGAAATTGTGCACGCAGATGCTTTTGCGTAACTCATAGTTACACACGTACTAAATGACAATCGATCGATGCAGTACGCGAAGATTAGCACCGTCCGATTTCATATCAAGAGAGAAAGAGAGAGAGGGGGGATTGCTCGTGCGTGCGTGCGTGCGTGCGTGCGTGCGCGCGTGCGTGTGTGTGTGTGGTGTGTGTTCGTGTGGTGTGTGTGTGTGTGTGTGTGTGTGTGTATGTGCGCGTGTGCACACATACACGTTTCACGGGTTATTTAACCAGTGACAATGGGCAAATCAAATTACGTGTCAATAATTTTGAGAGAGTTCATCAGTCAAGGATGCGAATTGACAAAACTCAAGTTCGCAAGAAATAGCAAGAAACGACAGAGAAATCGCAATCGCGGACTGTGATCCGAACGGCGATTATCTTCCTTCGTAGTAACGAGTAGTCGCATTTCCCAGCAAGGTCACTCTCGAACGGGACATTCCCTCCGACGCGCGTAACCAAAGTCACGCGCGGCACTCGCGTTTCTCTTCCTCCTTTCTTCCCCTAGAAGGGGTTCGAGGGGATGGTGATAGTGGTGGTGGTGGTGGCGGTGATGGTGGTGGCGGCGGTGGCCGCGGTGGCGGCGGCGACGACGACGACGGCGGGCGCTTAAATCGTATCGGCAACCTTTGGAAAAAGGCGCGTCCATCGTGGCTGTTGCGAAACGCACCGCGACAGCCGGTCGCTCGATCAATGAAACCTCGGTCGCCCTTTTTTCCCCTCTTCCGACCGGTCGTTCTCTCGGCGTTTCCATACATCGTGTCGAGTCGATTCACATGCTGCGCTTTTCAAAAGCTACCTACGCGCTAGTAGCCCGTCTCGTAGCTAAGCAGGGGCGGCCCACGCCGGGCTCCGGAACCCGTTCACCCACCTTCGACCTCGCCCCTTCGCGTTTGCCCACCACCACCACCACCACCACCACTATCATCACCACCACCACCACCACCACCAACGTGGTCTCACCGGGCCGCGCGTACCTGCGCTTGCGCTCGAGCCGGCACGTATTTCGATAGTCGTGTTTGCGTTGTGCCGTCGGGATCGTTGAGACTGTCGACTATTCGTATTCAAAGGGCGACAGTTTGCTGCACCAATCGTCCACACGTGATTCCGTTGAAATGCGACCGGGAACTCTGTTTGACGTGTGTCTGCTGTTCCGCGTCGCTATTACACTGGCTACCAAGAGACAGTGAATGAGAACGCGCGATACATTATACAGAGGTGTCGACGGCTGCTGATCGAGCTCGAAACAAGAGGGTCCTTTCGGCGCGAGACGAAGACGCAAATGGCAATCACCGCCGTAACCAACTGTCTAGGCCCCCCGCCCTTGCCACCTGGCAAGCGATTTTTACAAAGGTCGTCGAAAAAGCTATCGTCTACCTATACGAGTTTCCGCGATCCCGCCGTAGAAGCCTGGCTCCCTCGCGGGATCCTCGAGAGTCCAGCGCGAAGGAAAGTGTGCGAAGGAACCGCTGTTGTTGGCGCGGTCGCCACCAAGCAAGGTTTATTCAAAAGTTGCTCCGAGGGCGATCTATGCGTGCGCGGGACGCGCTACGCCGCGTCTCCTCTGGACAAGTGCATCAAGGCGATTTATGGCAGCTGGAAGAATCTCTTGCATCGTAAGTCCGAGTGTAACGAGCAAATAAAGCTCGTTTGAGGAAACGAGCGACGACGCTCTTACCGATGTGGAATCGGAAATGATCACTCTCTATCGAAGATATATATATATATATATATATATATATATATATATATATATATATATATATATATATTCCCCCATCTCGAATAGATTTCGTCGTCGTCGTCCTTTTGCTTTTCCTTTTCTCCACGTGGACTCGTGGCAAAAACTTCTCATTCTGGTCGCGGATGTAGTTACGTACACAGAGCCGCGTACAGTCGATTCCGCGATGGGCAGTGCCTCGTATTTCTCCCCAATCTTATTCGACGCTTTGGTTGCGTAATGGATTTTACGCTTTCGTTGTTTCTGCCTGCAGTAAACTGCAATGGTAGAGAGCGAAACGATTGCCCTCAGCTCACTCGACGATCGTACGAAACGAGTCTGCGAGCGGAGGGTATAACAAGGACGTCAATAAGAATACGGCCGTAAGCGGTTGAAAAAGAAGAAGGTAGAGAACGAGCAAAGTAACCGGAACCAAGAGAGAGGGAAAGACCAAGATGGAGCGAGCCAGTCTCTCCGGCCGTCGTCGTTACGTTGGCGGCTTCGGAGCGGCTTCGGAGCCGCTTCGGAGCGACTCGCCACCAAGCAGCATTACTGGATAAGGCGCATTTTCTCGTGACCATCGTACACGTACACACAGATGATATCGATGGTGTCTCGCTACGTAGAAACGAGCCCGACGAAAGTAAGGAAAATGAAGGGCGAAGGAAAGACTTCTCATGTGTATCAGTTGAGAAAACAAGGCGAAACAATTTCGAACAATTTCTCGAGATAAACATTCATTTCAATTAATATCACGTTGGAGACGCACAATTTGCAATCGCAGTTTCGTATCACACTGTCTAGAAGACGGCGGACTTGATTTCGTTCTTCATCCAATCATCGTGTCCACAATTGTTCGGTTGGTACATGGAAAATTGATTAAATCTCCGCTCGCACAATCGTGCGCACGTATCATACAGATAAGGCACGCGGACCAGAGTAGCTGGCCGAAGCGCGGACTAATACTCGAGTTAATCCTGTCGTTTCATCGACCACTTTTGGTAGTTTCGTTCCAACGCGATCATTGCAACATCCAAGCGAGATTTGTAAGCTTGTAATGTGAAATCAGCTCGTTCGATGCTCATAACGCATCTTTACGTTCATCACTATTTCATTTTGTGTATTTTCTGCTTTGACTTAGGTTTTCTCAACATTATATTATTTTGTGATATCTTTTGCACATACACGCGATAATGAGAGCACTCTTGGCACCGGTTCGGCTTACGTTTACGAGTAAAGAAACTTTAACTGAAAAATACGCTCTGAGAACTATCTAGATAAGGAAGGGGAAGGGAAGGAAGAGAGAGAGAGAGAGAGAGAGAGAGAGAGAGAGAGAGAGAGAGAGACGTTTGTCGAAATAAACGGGATCGAGAAGCGCGATGAAAAGTTGGGATTACGACACCGCTGATATATTTCACGCGTCAGTGGTGCGATATCGACATTGATGTATGTATGTGTATGCGTGCGTGTGTATCGGACACGAGACGACACGACACATGTTGCGTGTGACGCGCGGAAACGCCCACACTGTAATTCTTCGATAGATTCGCGTATCCGAGCCTATTCCTACCGTGCAATACACGTCAGGCACACATACTACTCAATTGTCATTCGCGAATATTGTCAAATATCACTGCTATTTGTTCACATAGCTTTCGTCGACTCGTACTAAACTAGCATCGCGCGAGTCAAGTTAAAGGCTAATAATTTACATACGAAAGATATGCAAAGACTAAGAGAAATTAGAGATTGCGTTCTCGTTCGTGAATCACGGTTCCGGTTGTCGATCGAGTGCACGCAGTTTTCGCACAGTGAGCGCATTGTGCGCTGCGCGCTCACAACGACCTTCATACGAGCAATCCAGAGACTGATACGCGCTCGTGCGCGATATTCGAAACTGTTTCAATCTCAAAACGTTGATGCAAATTGTTGATAAGTTCGTAAAACTGTATTTGCGATATTATCTATTTCTTTCTCCACCTACTCTGTGCACGTCTGCTTTTAACGATTCACCCTTAAAATAAATAATCGAGCAAAAATGATGTCTTTCTTTGGCCATTTCTTCTCAGAAAGACAAGTATTAGGTAGAGACAAGTTGAAGTTTCAGAAACGTGTCTTTGATGTTTACACGACAAATTGTGACACATCTTCCCTCTTTCTTTTACCCCGTTTTTTCTCCTACGCATTTTTTGGTACAAAACGCACAGACGCGCGCGCACCGAGTTTTCTCTCCTGCTCATCTAGACGCAATGAAAGAAAGAAAGAAAAAGCGGCGACGTTAATCACCTAGTCAAACGATCCTGATCCTTGGGACCACTATGACCCACGTACTCTGTCCATCTGTCCAATTTCACCACTCGCGTTCAACGCAAACTACTCATCCAAGGCACAATTCGTCAATCCAAAACAAATGTGTTGAATTTGATGGTCAACTTCATAAAAAGTTCCTTTTTGCTCGCATGTTACAGTTGGCGGTATGAGCCGGCCGTCCAAAGCCGTGACCCAAGCGAAGAAAGTAGCGCCACCGGCTGTACCAGACGTGTTTCGACACTCTGGTTCCTCTTTTGGCTCGGCTGGATATGCTAGCAGCGAGGATAGCTGCTTCCTCTCCGGAAGCGGCCCCGGAGGTACGACGGACGATGGTTCTTACGGGATGCCATCTGGAAAAAGTCCGGGACCTATTTTTACCCATCCTGGCTTCGCCTTCCCACCGGTCGTCGGCAAATACGCCCACGCCGAAGACCAAGGTGCGAGTTATCGATGAACGTATGGATCTTGCGATATTATAAACTAAGCATTTTCCTTATCGCGGCGATATTCGAATGCTGTGTCTAATATTGCACTGTACTTTGCTATTGCAGCAGATTTAACACATTTAGCGCACATCCGAGCCGAGATACAACAAATTCGAGTGTATCTCGATGCACGCGCGCGCGCGCGCGCACAGTCTCTCACATTTCCGAAAGAAGATTCCGAAAGTTTCAAAAATTTCGCTAATGATTAAATATGTTTGTCGCGCGTTTGTTTCTTTGATCCAAATTCGTCGCTGATTAGATATTTATACCGTGTCATCCCGTGTTCTTTTTCATTCCCTCTCGTCAGCAAACGAACAACGAAATGTTTTTACCGAATGAGCATGTTGTGTCGCGCATCAACGAGACATTTTTCGAGCAATCGTTTCGAGATTATTCGTCGGAAAAATATATCACCACCATATGGATGATATGGGTCGAATGGAGAGAGATCCTACGTGCCATCCTTATTGTCGGCTTATACACGGCTCCTTATTGTCGATGATTCGACTTACCGATTATATCTGTAGGTATCGACATGACCCAGAGTCCCGGAAGAGACAGTCCCGGTAGTTCGGGCTCAGGTTCCGGTTCTAGACACTCTACGGCGTCGTTGGATTCCGGCAGAGCGTCTGGATATCATTTGGGGCCTAGAGGACCCGGCGCTCTCGCCTCGTCTCCCAGATGCTCCATTAGTTCTCTCGGAAGTCATCCCGACCGACCGGCAGATCTCGACGTTGTTCACGCCTGGTTAACCGAACTCCAATTCGAGGAGTACTTCCCCTTGTTCGCTTCCGCAGGTTACGATCTTGCAACTATAACGCGCATGACACCGGAGGATCTCACGGCTATAGGTGAGTGTCCCATTTCGTCAATCGTGTTAGTTAGTAGACGCGATAAACTGCTATACGCACAAGACGAGGCTTCTCTCCTCTCTTCTTCGAGTATCATGATCCAAACGTACAAACGATTTCATGTTTCCCTATATACCGCCGAGCTTTATATAATGCATCATTTACACATGCACATCCCACGCGGTAATATAATAAAAGAGAACAAGAGAGTTTGTCATCTAATTGCTTGTTATGTCGCAGGTATTACGAAACCCAATCACAGAAAGCGATTGAAAGCGGAGATAGATAATTTGAACATAGGAGATGGGCTGCCGGAACATGTGCCCGGCTCGCTGGAAGAATGGCTCAGGCTTCTCAGGCTCGAGGAATACCTCGGCGCTCTTCATCAACAGGGTATGCGGTCCGTCGAGGACGTGACGACTATTACTTGGGAAGATCTCGAAGACATCGGTATCGTACGTCTAGGACATCAAAAGAAATTATTATTGGCAATTAAGAGAGTTAAGGATATTCGCGCTGGCAAGCGTATACAGCCGCTTGATCTAGCACGCCTGCCGCCACATCCTGGTCACACGCAGGTAAATAATACTTTACTATTAATAGAGTAAGCTTCGTCGCGACCGCGTAATAAAGCCGCGCTCAAGTATATACCGGACTAGGGACTCGTTCCCGCGATTTGCAGGACTTTGAAAATAAATCGATGCATTTTTCCAGGACGTTGTTATTCAACGTGGCGGGCCCGATTTACCGTCGCCCGACGAAGATTGCTCCTCGCCTGTACTCAGATCTTTCCAAAGAGGTGGGAGCGATAGCGCTTCCGGCGCCGCTTGGAGAAGTATGTACGCCGCGCTTCCAGCCGATTACAATACGGTCGGTCGTACTGGTTCCCGAGGAAAATCTTTAGAAAGCTTGGAAGACGCTCCTCTCGGCTATCCTCCGTCACCGGCACCGCCCTCTCATCCGCAACTCCTCGACTGGCGTCCACGCAGTTTTGAGGACGGCGATCTTACGCCTACAAACGACGCTTCAGCGGATGCTGGTGGTGGTGGCGGCGGCGGCGGCGGCGGCGGCGGCGGCGGCGGCGGCGGCGGCGGCGGCACCCTTCCACGACCGAGACATTGCCTTGTTCGCCCGCGTCCTGTAGCCAAGGTATATTTCATCTTTTTCGACAGACGCTATTCATTGAATGCGTCTAACACTTGTATGTAATTTCAGGTCACCGCGACACCGGGCCAATTCAAGTCCTTGCCGAGAGACTTCGACAACAAGTATCAATTGACCTACGGACTCGAGAGTAGTCCGCACCTTCCGAAACGGTGTCCTCCATCGCCACCGAGGCGACAGAGCTCCAGGGACGCGACTAGTTCTTCCGTGGTGGGTGTAGCTGGTGGCCCCACAATTGGCGACGTCGTGATAGACTGCAGCGGACCGGTGCCGACTGCTTCGTGCGACGATCATCACATTCATCAGCATCATCACCAGCATCACCATTTGCTTCATCATCCACCACCGCCACCGCCAGCACCCACACCGGCACCTTCCACACCGCCGCAAATCAGTCGACCGCCTTCCTCCATGTCACGCTCCTGGGGTAGCGTCAGTGTTAACGTTAACGAGGAACATGAGCTGATAGCTACTCTCGCTCTGCAGCATCGTAATGGATCGGATGCCAGTTTTAAGGTACGTCTGTCGATCGATAGCGCTCATTTTTATCGTAAATAGATACACCGCCTCATTGGTGATATCACGAACGATTCAGTTTTCCAATAAATAGATTTAGATTCGTTAACCAAATTGTGTTGATGCTTACAGTCAAGTTCCAGTACTGAATCGGACTCGTTGCCTTTCGCCAATGAGAATGCCGGCACGATCAAGCAAAGGGCCGGTCGGGCGCAAGAATACGTACCAGCCGGATCGAACAGTGGTATCGGCGGCCACGTAGTCAATCATCATTCCAGTGGAAGTGAACCCGCGGACGTTTTGAACGACATCGGAAATATGCTGGCCAATCTTACAGACGAATTGGACGCGATGCTCGAAGAGGAGAAACGCCAAGGCCTGAACTCATAATCGTCACTGCCTTCGTTTGCACTTTTTTAATTGACTAAAGTTGCCATAAAGAACGCAAATCCAGTGACTTTTGTTTCTGGGTACATGGAGTGAAAATTAAGATTAATGCGACGTACGCGAAAGTTGTGAACGTATATAATTCAGGATTACGTTCTAAACAAAATTTTAAATGGGCACGAGTTAGGGGCTCGATAAACATCTAATTCTAGAGTGATCCTTTCAAGACGGAAATATATACCGACACTCGTTGCTCGTTTCGTGAAATCGTTTCGGGGAAGAAAAAAAAAGATGCCATGAATAACGTGTTGTATCGTTCTAATGGATAATGGTAATAATTTGTTTCGCATTTGTACAGATCGACGCGTATATAAGAACGTATTTCCGCGCCTTTTATACTTTGTTCCGATTACTCTCCTTTCTTCGTCAACAGAGGAAAGCGAGAGCTTTTCTTATGTGGAAAATGGGGAATATCAAACGTAAGAATTTCCATAAGATTCCCCCACCTACAGACAGATGTAGTTGCAGCGCTCCTACAGCGGTATTGCTCTCGGCAGTCCTTTTGAGCGTTTTCTACTTCTTTCCAAATATTTTTTTCATTCCGTTCTTTTTATTATCTTCTCTTCTTCATCCTTTCTTTTCCTTCTTCTTTTTGCACAACGGATAATATTAACGAATGACACGACAAAACTTGTCAATCTATTGCATACGTACTAAGTTTATGCAATCTATATAAAATATTGACGTGGCAGAGGGAAGGGAACACGGAATCAATTTCTTTACGCGTAAGAGTTATTTGTAAATTGTAAATGTATAATCTATGATTTATATACCATCTGCCTATCTATAGAACATATTGCAAACGATTCAGAAATAGCGAATGCATCTTTTGCCGTAAAACCGTCGTGTGGTTTACATTTGTAAGATATGAAATCTGTGACGAGTTCCTTTTCTCTAAGAGATTCTTGTTTCCGTTAACGTACCTACATTCCACGTACGCCATTCTCCATTTCCGTCCTTCGTTAAATCGATAGAAATTTTTTTTATTCGCTATTATATCATTCTGTTATAAAAATGTATGTATAATTATCGTCTTATCGTCCACAAACGAAACAGTTCCAAACAGTTCCACTAGAGAAAAACTAGAGATATTTGTAGAGATGTTATGTGTGTGTATGTGTGTGTGTGCGTGCGTGCGTGCGTGCGTGCGTGCGTGCGCGCACACACACACACACAATGATGAAAAATAATTAGGATCCTTGTCTATATCGTGATACGTGATACTTTTGCGGAAGATATCACAAGACGGACAATGCCTTCCCTTCTAACGAGAATTCTATAAGAAACGCTATCGACCGTCGCGCAGATAAGATTTCAATGCAATACGATTTAGTACAGAAGCACACGATGATAATATGTATGCCAATTAACATTTTGTATTTATTATCTGTACTGTAATGAATATAGAGACGTACATAACTCACTATTATTGTATGATACATCCAGATGATTCATTTGGAAAGTATTCATACACATTAAATCAAAGTAATTGTAGTTATATGGTGGGCGGGGGAAGAGTTTTGAGGAGGCGAGAATGGAAGATAGGTGCCCGAGTGGTCTTGGTTAAGAATGTGTTACTGGTACATTTCGAGATCTGAAAGTAGTGTTTTGCAAGAGATTTTTATAAGAAATACTTTATACGGCGCGAGAAACGTTTTTTATCCATCTTCGCGGAATCACGCTAGCAGAAATTTCGACTAGAAATTTCTCGAAATAATTATCGCACAAATCCAGTCTATGTGACACTTTTAATACTCCAAGATAGTCCGGACAAGAGATTGGCGTGTGTACAATACAGCATCTAAAGATGTTAAGATATATTAATTTGTTACATATAATTATAAATATTTCATTCACAAATTATTTCCATCCCTTCTCACACTAAAAAATCATTTATACGTACCAGTTTCAAAATGCAAAACGCATAATTTATGGTGAAATGTATAATTCTTACACCACCGTTCCTGCGACGCATTTTATTTTTAGCCCTAATGAAGGTTGCAACCCGTAATTGGATTTAATCGGGTCCCATAGATATGAGATATATAAACACTCATGCTAGAACATATGCGAAACCCCCTGAATGGATACACCTAAACTTAAATCTAAATCTAAATCTACTTAGAATTAATGGATTTAAAGCGGAGGCTGCTCAGCGCAGACTGCAGATTTGTTTTGTTAATTACTTGTAGGCATTATAGTTATATATGTGTATATATATATATATATATATATATATATATATATATATATATTTTTTTTTTTTTGTATATATGTGTATGTATGCACGCATTCATCTTAACATACATACATATACACATATACACAGACACATGCACCATTAGTCGCAGTGAATTTAGGAGAGCATATTTAACGTTTCAAGTTCTCTGATCAGTTCAAATATAAAAACTTTTCTCCAAGAAAAATGGGCAAAAGCAACTTTGAGATTCTACATCCTCTTCATTCTCCCCCGCAAGCAGCGCGTTTCTCAACGATAATACACAATGATTTTGCATACAAACTTTCATTGTTGAATAATTACTTGTACATTGATAGCGATAGATTGACATTCGAATGATATCGACTAGTTTATTGATTTGTTTTAAATATCGACTGACATAAATTTTGGCCGAATATGTCGAGTCAGTTTAATCGGTAATTTCCCAAATACATTGCTTCCACATGGTGTATAACATGGTGTTACAGTGAAAGCGATCAATTGGGTCATTGTATAAAATCGGTGGTGATTATATATGTACGCACACATACATGTGTGTGTGTATATACATATCGATTAATCGCTTTCGTAATATATAGATATTATATACATACAACACAATCATAGATATATTACTTAGTTATAGATTTTGTACAAACAGATGCGTTGCAATGTCTCGCTCACAGCGAGCCCAGTGCCCGCCTAAACTGCATTGTACAACCCCCTTTCCCTTCCATGGTTTAAATGCGCGTTAGATATATTATTTGGTTTATCTCAATTAAGAAAAAGGTGATTGATCTTTAAATAAAGTCAACGGATTTCATTCGTCGGATCATTCATCGATCCTTTCTCGATCAACGGGCAAGTACGTTTATTCTCTACCCCAATTATTATACACATTTGCATTATTGTACATTCATATGTTTGAAACAGATGAAGAAAGATCGCGTTGAACATGTCACCTTTGACATCAATCATCGTTGTTTTGCTGATGAAATTTGACCATGTCGTTACATAGGCACGCGCCTGTCGTGCGCGGAACGAAACTAAGAGAAAAGAATTACTGTGGGCTTTTAGTTTGTCCGCAAAATGTGTATTAATTTCTCGTTGTCACGTTGCTGTCACATTGGTATATTTGTCCTAAAGTACAGCTCATGAAAATGAGCAACATACTACATTCGATAAAAAGCTATAGGCAATAGCCTCGAGAGAACAACGATCTCGAAGGGTATATAAAGTTTACATGGATACTTTTCGTAGAAAGACACCTCACACGCGCGCGCGCGCGCGCTAGATGGCTCGTCCTATTTCTCTCCAACGAGCGCGATTGTATAGGTAGGTGCGAACCACATTGCTGGCATTTTTCGACTCGTTCGGCTGTGCTCGGCGGAGTCAGTTGGAGCCGCGCGAGCGAGCGAGCGAGCGCGCGCGCGCGCGCCCTTCTCGACGCCACTTTTCGACTGTGCTCGGCGCGAGTCAGCAACGCTTGCGCGATGTGCGTCCGTTTGTCGACACTCGACAGACAATGCGATACGATACGACGTGATTACGGATCGATCGGGCCACGCAGAGAGAGAGTCGAATCGACGTGATCTTCCTTCGCGGACAGTCGTAGACAGTCGCCGCCAGCCGCCACCATTCGTGGATAGAGTACGGTGCGCGTTGTTCTCGCGTTCGTTCTCGCGTTACCGTGCTACGCGCGAGAAAGGCATTTCCTGCGGGCGACTCTTCCTCTCTCGAATGGATACGGATCACCTTAGCTGGGAAATCCGTCGCGACCCCGATCCCCGATCTCCGATCGGGTTAAAAGTTCTCTCGCCTGATTTATCGTTTGTTGTCGCGAGAACAAGCAAATTGATTGAACGAGCAGCAGTCTCGCCTACGTGAAAATGTCGATCGCGCCTTCGTCTGACCTGGCTGAGAATCGGTTCGCTCGTTTCGATGGTATTCGTCGACAGTTGGAGCGTACGCGAGTGTAGTGCAGTGTCTCTCACCTCTCTCGACGACGTACGTCGTTATTACGTCGATGCAGCCTGTGCTCCGCGAGTTTTGCTCGCATTTTGCTGAAGATACGTACAAGCAGAAGAGAAAGAAAAAGAGGTAAAGTCGACAAAATTATCTTTGAGCGGGAGATGCTGCGAGAGGAGGAAATTTCACACTGCGGCTTCTTCGTACAATGCAGTCCTTCTTCTCTCGTATTTTCTCACGCTGCGATATTTACGCTGCTCTCAGAGCAAGCAGGGATTCACGTACCGCGAATCAATAGTTTTGTGATAAATATCAATCAAAAACAAAGATCCGCAAGCATACGTGAGTGTTATATTTCATCACAAAGCATTAGAAATCGGTTACCAAGTAATATTATCAGAAGCGCGAGCAATTGTCTTTAGTCAACGTTTAAATGTTAAATATGACGCTAGCAGCGGCTGAGCCTAATCCTCAAGTGTTTGACCGAATTTAACCGAATATGAGAGAATTGTCTTTTCCAAAAAGTCAACTCGTTCACCACGTACAACGCATAACGGCCATTACAAATAGAAGATATAAAGGAAAGCGCAGCGTGGAAAGTTGAGCGAGAGAGAACTGTGTAGTACCGCGCAACGATGATACCACACCTCGCGATACTCACGCTCGGCACACGACCGACTCTACTTTCGGTAGAGAATAGAGATATTTCTTTACGTATGTATTTATTTTCTTTTTTTTTATTATCGTGCAATGTAGCAACGCGCACGTTCGGCGTCTCCAAGAACTTTTCAGACCAGATTTGCTCGGTAAATTGTGGCGAATTTGATGAACGGCTTAAACGGCCCTCGTAGATCGATTGGAATGAAAGACTCGTTTGTTCTCTTGCGGCAAGGTAATTCTCGATGATTCGGTCTCGTTTGGTCTGGCCTAATATACGCCAGACACACGTAGTGTCAGGCAGCGCGAGAAGTACCGTTTCTCAAAACGGTTGGTCGAGAGCGCGACTGTAATTTCCAACGTAAACGTCGCCATACAGTTAGTTTCAGTCTATTGCCAGTCGCAACGTCGACGATCGCCCGCGGAGAAAATACTAAATCGCAACAAGTTTACAAATTGGATTGGGGTCGGTCCGCCGACTCGTCTCGTTGCGGATCGACAAAGGAATGAGACTAAGGGACGAGAGAGAGAGAGAGAGGGGAAGGGGCACGCGCGAGTAGGAATATGTTCTGTGCACAAGAGCGTTTACAGACGCATCTGTCGTTTCACTTCGCTCGTAAACTCATTGGCTCCTTGTATCTCGAATGTCCGTCTCAACTATAACATTCAAGACATTGTCCGCTATTACTGTTGTAATAATAATGTCAACGATCAAAAGCGAAATATGTCTTATATTTACACCAAAAATGCAACAAGTGTAAGCTTCGCGCCACTTCCATTCGCCGAGGAAACGCATTGCGCTCTCGTGCGGTAACCATTCTTTTCTCAGGCGGGCAACTATATCGAGTAAGGAAACTGACCAATAGATTGCAATTTGGTCTATCTTGTATTTTTTTCTTTTCAATTCGTCACAAAGATCTCTCGTATGAATTGTTTCTCCGTCGTGTTCGAGCGACCTTGACTCGATAAAAATCGCTACTCGCTTTGGTATATTGCAAGTCGCGAGAAAAATCACGGGGAGAAAGGATAAGAGCAGCATCCCGCTGCCGATGAAAGAGCAATCGCGAACCCTAGCGATAACCCGATTCATCGTGAGGAGCGGCCGCTCCTCGACTACCACCACTTGACTACTTTCGCCCGCGTGTGCTCTCAGGCGAGTCGATTTAGTGGACGTATACTAAACGCTGACCGAAAAAAAGCCGAGTGTAACTTGTGTTCGCTCGATCGCGTCGGAAAAAGTCAACTTTGAGCGTAGCGTTTTCATTTTCAGATCGTGCGACATCAACCAGCGACCGGAGAGAGAGAAAGAGAATCGTTTATTCTCCTGCGACATACTGTACCGCACGTTGCTACGAACGCGTACGACTATAAGAGCGCGGAGAAAGCATCTAGTTTTGCAAGCCGACGAGGTTACAGTCGGTCCTCGTCCTGCGCCACGTGTTTCCCGATAGCAGACTCGCCGGTTGATAATTGATAATTGCGCGCGCGTTCTCGACCGCCCGGGAGATAAAGGAGAGAAGAGAGCTGTCGGACGATTTCTGGACACACGAGAACAAAGAAGACAAATCGATCAGTCAACAAGGACGCAGACGAGAGCAGACGTAGAAACGAGGGAAAATCGCGGCGAGAAACAGAGAGAGGTGTCTCATCTTGCTGTGTAGAGTGCCGAGACCAATGTCCAGGCCCGTACAATGGCTAGGGCCCTGTCTGAAAGTGCCCCAAGAGCCGTGAGCGTTATTGCAGTCAACGATACTGCCGTGGATGACGTCGATGACAATCGCGCGCAGGTGAAATTTCCTTTCATTCACAATGACCGTTGGACAATCGCACAAACGATACCGTCTCAAATATATAACGTTTGTTTCACGTATTTCAGGAAGCGCGGGGCAATACTCGATCCTTCACCTCGACGGAGGCGCAGACGGAGCTAGCACTTGACGGTACCGTCGTCGGTGGACCGACGACGGTGGTGGCGACGGCATCGTCGTCGGTAGCGGCGACGACGTCGGCCGTCCGAACCGAGGAGGTTCCCGATGGCGTTCGGGATGCGATGGCGCGTAGGCGGGAACGACGAATGCGTAGGCAACATCGTCGCGCTCTGAGATCTTGCACTGTACCGCCGGCATATCCCACATCTGGTTGCCAGACTGCGAGTTCGACCGCACCGGGTGTGCCCCTAGTGCCATCCGCTAGAGGCTTCCTTCATCCTCCGCCTCCGCACTTGGGCCTCAGAGGCCTTAGCCTTGGTTTACCTTTTCCGGTGCCTGCTAGTGTTTCCGCCTTTGGCAGGTGAGACCATTTTCTCTCGGTTACTATTCTGATTTACGATATCGGAATCCCCCGCCATATTGATCATGTAATCGTTCGTTCGCATCGCAGAGACACGGTGGCGGTGCCGAAACAATGCTGTGGCCTGAGTTCCCCGCCAGTACGCTGGTCCATATTGGGTGTCGGTTTCGTCGGTCTCGTTTGCACAGGTGCAGGCACTCTTCTCGGCGCCCTCAAAGCCTCCGGCCGTGATCATCTCGTGGGCGTATTTATGTCCGGTAAGCGAACCTTGTTTACTAATTATAAGATTGACCTGAATTCTTAATAGACGAACGAAAGATGCGGATACCACAATGTGATAATCCGACTAATCGGGATTGCTTGTTACAGGCATAGGAGTACTTCTAGTGTTGGTGAGTGCAGTGGCGTGGCGACTGACCAATCAAGATTACTGCGGCAGCTTTTTCGGTTTCACGGGCATATCCGGCAGAATACCACCCACAAGACCGATACATCCCTATGCCGCTATGATCTACCCGGAATTTCAGTTTAGGACACCACCACCGAGTTACCAGGTGTGTGGTACCGACCTATGTATACTGGATCGTGTCAATCACGCGTTATCATTTTCTCTTTTTATAGGCTAGTATGCAAGAATATAGACTTCGACTGTTGTTGTTGGACCGTTTGCAGCCTGCATCTTCGCCACCGCCAACTTATAGATCGAATGCGGGAAGCATTGCAGCTCCTGGTACGGCGCGAGAGAGTCGACCGCCAAGTTACCGCGCCGAATCCAACGTCACGCCGAATACGACTCTAGCGCCCTCGAAGAAGGACGCGAATCTCGTTAGGATCGTCCAAACTGAATCCGAGCCCGTTATTCTCAGTGGTGATCAAACGCCACCCGTAGCTTCCGTCGAAGTACTGGCGCATCTTTAGATTAAGCCACATGTTCGCCCGCCCATCTACGATTTATGGCCATCTCTTTCAGGGTTCGCGAAAGCGATTGTAATTATGTATCTAAAAGACACGACGTTTAATTGTATAAATTAATTTAATTAATTATATAATATACGAGATAGATAGATATATGTATGTATATATACATATATGCATATATATACATACATGTATGTATGTATAAGTATATATACGCGCATGTGTGTGTGTGTGTGTGTGTGTGTGTGTGTATATATATATATATATATATATATATATATATATATATATATATATATATATATATATACACAGCGAAGATGAAATATATCTTTCAAAAAGATTCAACTTGCGAGATCGACTAGATCTTTGTCAAACGATAAGCTCGCACTTTTAACGTTCGTTACTTTTTTCAGATCGCATTATTGTATTTTTATTATTTTTCCTCCAAAGTTTGGCTACAGCGATCTTCGTCAAATATGCGTCGGTCGGTCGTCATCTCTGAAGTGGAGGCGATACTTGATGGTTTCTCTGTACAATTTACCTTCTTCTTTCTTGTTCCTTTATTAATTGTCTTATTTGCTTTTAGCCTAGTATTAGTACCATGCTTTCGTTTCCGTGAAAGCGATGTTGGATCTGTAATAGACAAATATATAATTTATTCTCGATATGTACAACATATAAATTTTTTAACGAGAGCACAGGCTAGATACGCACGATCTTCGGGAATGTTCATTCTCTTTCTCAAAACAGCGCGTACTTGCTTATTTATGATTTCTCGGCACTGTACGTCGAAGCCGGTTGGCAGCCATCCTCTCTTCTCGTGACATCTTATACCAGGCAAAGGATCGGGAAGTTTCGCCAACATCTGTTGTATCTCTCCCACCGCAATGTCGCAATACTAATAATAGAATTGAACAGTCTAATCGCGCTGTCGTTATTTGTCGATTTCATAACTGACGTATCAAAAGGAAAAGATCGACAAACCTGATAAAACATTTGCCGAGAAGGTGGTACCATACCTTCTCGGTATATGTATACATTCTCATGTAAATGACGCTCCTTCTTTGGATTTTGCTCCTGGCTCAAAGTAGCGGTCAGTATCGCGGGCTTTTGCTTAGATACCGGCGCTGATTTATACGGTAACGTATAAGTCGAATAATTTCTTTTGCATCTAACAGTCGAACCTAATCCATCTATAAATGAACAAGTATTATATTCATTTCTTTCCATATCTCTTCCTCTTAACAGATCGTACGTTTGAAATGATAAACGACTTACGCATAGCTTTCAATCTGTAATCTAATGTTTGATATTTCCTTGCATTGATGTCCTTTCTTGGGTCGTAACCAAGCTTCACCCACATAATTCTCCACGGTCCAGTCATAAAGTAATACGCTACTGACGGTAGTAATATTTTTAACTGTTCAGATGTAAATTGTGTCTTGTGCATGATGGCATTTTTCGACCAGATCGGCCGCTCCTCGAACAGTTGACGCACTTTTTCCAAATGTGAATTTTGGAGAAACTTGACCTTCATCGCTGTCTCGATACCTTTTGGTGCCACGTCAGGCACCTCCGGTGTGGAAAAGTATATGTAGTTGGGGAAACCTGCTTGGCTTTTCTTACTTTTACCAATTATATTTTTCGTGCCGGAATCTGTTTCACTTTTTGGCACATATTGCTGTATAGTGTCCATTCTGCTGAATGCAGCTGGTGGTAGGAAATAAGGCACATCATTCTTTAACCAAGAGAAGGATGGAATTCCTGTCGGATAAATCGAGCTGTATATACATTCCAACTTGTTTGGATCTGACCTGTCTTGCGTCATTGGCACATATTGAAAATCACACAGATCTGAAACATTGAGAAAAAATTACTAGGGGGTGAATTAATAGAGAAGCATCTCAATACGCTCGTTACGTTACAAGTGCACATTAGTTTGCATCATTTACAGTATTAGAACGTACTGGTGAAGTTAAACTCGATATCGACTCTTCCGAGTATCTTCAAACGAGGTAAATCGTAACCTGCATCTTGTGATAAATTTTCGTATTTATCGTGATCAAAAGTAGGCGATGCATCCTTCTTTCTCTTTGGCGGATTTGTATCTAGGTTGTATAAATTTGAAGCACATGTCCTTACAGCAGCTTCGCTACTGGAATCCACAGAGAACCCAATGTCCTGATTTCGTGCTTGATTTACCAAATTATTGACAGCATCACCTTGATGGTTGTTTCTTACTGCAATATCCGACATTAAATTATCAATCTGTTCACCTCTCAAAAATTGAGACATGTTAGAATCTATTTCGCCTTGAATAATGGAAAATGTCCTTGAGTTTGCAGCATCTGCAGACTGTGACTTTATAATGTTTACAGTGGTGTCTCCTTTGGCTTGATTAACTCTGTTCTTCTTTATCCTGACTCTAAGTAAGAATCCAGTTGTACCGTGTCTATCTCCACAAGTAGGTTTGCTATAACCATCGTCAGGCCTAAATCGCAATTCTAATCTCCTATTGGGAGCGTCTACAGCCTGTAAGGAGGAAAGTAAACAAAAGAAAAAATAAATAACAATATACAAATACAACTGTATTGTACCGTAGATATTGAACTGATGCCACCCAATGTTTCGATAGCTTTATCAACATTCATTACATTTCCTGGGTACTTGACGCATACTAGCTTCTTATCAAATCTATGTCCAGAAATTATTGGACCAGAGTATACGATATGTTGAGCATTATTTTCCTCCATCTGTAACATGAAAAGTAAGTTAAACAACTGACACGAAAACAAATGCTTTTTTATTATTCACGAAAAGAGAAAGAATAATTATGAACGGGAAATATCAAAGAGAAATCTTATGCATATCGATATGTATTTATTAAAACGTAAAATACTTGGAGACTCACTGTAACGTTATCTTTCGGCAATTCGTTAGAAGAATCATCACTCTCAACTTCACGACGATAATCATCTACATCGAAATCTGCATCCTTGTCATCTCTGTCGGATGTTTCAAAATCACTTGACTCATTCGGTTCGCTCATAGCGTCACTTTCCTTAAAATTACAAAACTACAAAATAATGCTCAAAATTACAAAATGTATCTTCTGTTCAGTTCTAATTATGCGGGACACGTGGGGACACGGCTTGACGTTATTACTCTGTTCTTTTTAGCTGCACTGCTGAACTAGTTCAGTTAAAAAGAACAGACCATAGATGTTGAAATCCCCTCTATGGCTGCGTTCCGAAATTCACTGTCAGTGCTAAAATTCTATAGTATATATATAACAAAAACTATAGATTTTCAGTACTGGCAGTGAATTTCGGAACGCAGCCTTAAGCCCATTCTACAATTGCGTAAGCGTAGTCGTGAACGTAAGAATCAACCAATCCGAATGTTTTATTCACTGATTGCTTTATTCTGATTGGTTGTCGTAATCATTTACGACCTCTTACATCCACGTTCACGCAATTGTAGAATGGACTTTATAGCATGTTCGACTGGCTCTGGGTTAACCCACTCTGGATTATTCAATTTACGTTTATTGGTCGAAGAAGTATTTATAAGCTTTATGATTGGCTAGTAGAGACTTAGACGTCATTAATCGCTCTCGGAGCGATTAACCCAGGGCCAGTCAAACAAGCTATTGACTCCTGCACACAGGACGCGGTAATGTTTGCCGCGTGGCGGAAGTTCGCGCGACAGTCAACCAATATGCTGCTTTCCGTAATAATTTTCTAGCTCTTACGGAAAAACAACATATTAATTAGCTGTCGCGCGAACTTCCGCCGCGCGGCAAGGATTACCGCGTCCTGTGTGCAGAAGCCATTAGGCAACAGTTTCCCGAAAAATGGAGGAAATAATGGGAGTTTACGTTAAATCGAGTACGAGTTAGTTCCACTAGGGTCGAAAAATGTAATAGGCACAACCATCTAGTATCTTCATGGTTCAATACAACTCAGTACTGCTTTCCGATGCTCGAGTAGAGTTAGTTAGAGTTAGCTAGAGTAGCATAGCGGATAACGTAAGCATCAGGTAGTTAATTTTCAAAAAATGTTAGTTATTAATAAGTTTAATCTCATATAGTATGTTTATACCGAACGTTTAATACGCGTACCAATTAGTAATTTTATGTTAAATTATTTTGATTTCGGCAATGTATATAAACAACGTCATATTGAAGTAATACAATATTGATTAGAAACACGTATCGTATTAATTA